TCATTTGAATTTGAGTTAAACTAACTACAGTTTAACTTCTAATGAGATCGTTCTCAATCGCATTTACAGAGGAGGATGACCGAAGAAAAATATTTCACACAGGGAACATTCTTATTCACAATGATTCATATTTGTTTTTATCTGATTGATGGATCTAAGTCATATATTCCCTTTTTCTTCAGCTCTGTTTTAGGTCTCGAACTATTTCTGATATGTCTCTGTCCAACATCTGTTGTACACTAATGGATAAGTGCAGTTTTAAAATTACTGGAGGGAACATTTAAGTTAAAAGTCCAGTTAGTACTGTGTCTCACACACAGTTAGACTAAAACAATGTTATCTTTGTAATGACATCATATGTCGGCTGTGTTAAGGAGAAAATTCACTCAGTCGGAAGGTTTTACAGTTTTGTAACGCTTGTCTCCACATCACAGTATTTTCAGTACTGTTTTCAAAAGGAAACCGAATATCCATCCTCCCATAGTCCCACTTTGTCCTGTGTGAAGCAAATATATTTCTCTCATATTGAATACATTATTACTTTGATTTTGGGGCCATAATTATATATAGTAAGTACATTCATTCATCTTTTTTTTCTCTGTATACTCAATATAGTGGGCCAGTTTTACAGGCCTCACTTTTGACATCTTGATTGAGGTGTTTAATGTGACTGCTTTAAAAGTTACTGCTTTGGCTAAACACTGCTAAAAGGACAGACAAAGACAGAAAAGAGAAAAGTGGAGACAGCGGGATCCTTACCTTTCCCTTCGCAGCCTTCCTCATTAATCGTCATGGCAGCTGCTGCACCCTCTTCTCTCTCATTCCCAGCTAGAGATGATGGAGAATCAGAGATACTTGGTGGACAGATGTCCAACAGATAACCACTTCAACTGAATCCTGCCCTCAGCGACTCATGCCATCTTTGTTTACAATAATACGAATATTATTAATCTTCGAGGGAAAGGTAAGTGCTCAAGCTATTCTGATGACCAATAAGGAACATGTGCATCTATGAGCTTAAGTTTTAAAATTAATGTGCCAAACCAGAACATGTGAACTACATAGTTTATTAAGCATTTACATTTTATACAATGACAGTATTTCCTTCATTTATTGTCAGTAATAAGGGAAAATAAATTACATATATTTCAATTAAAGCTGAAGCACAGAGATCTAGTAACCTGCATTAATAAGGGAAAATGGGGTATATTCTGTGTACAGTAATTTAAATATTCATAAAGCCAGTAAACAGATGGAGATGCTGACTGAGTTAGTGCAGTAGCCTACCTATGACAACATGCATGCCTAGGCTGGCCAGATGTCTTGCTGTCTCTAAACCCATTCCTCTGGTACCCCCCGTCACGATGGCAACCCTTCCATTTTGCTTGGGTAAGACTGTGGAGGAGAGAGGGCTCAAATCAGTATCAATATAATTTGAGTTTTTTGAAACCACAGAGTGGTTGCACCAGAATACAGAAGTGTATTGTTGCCACGCTGGAAAAAGAAAAGACAGGATTAGTATCATGCTGTAACATGGTTCACATTATGTTATACATATCAACGGTTATTACAGTGCTGACTCGAACACCTTCACTTTATGCTTCAGCAATGAAATGTAGATCATGGTGCAGAGGGAAAAAAATCTGTAAAAAATTCCCTGACCTATTGCAATTCAACTGGAAACCCACAGAAACTCATGAGGCTGACCCGCGATGGTTAACTTCCCAAACATTATCCAGATCCTAACAGGGTTCCGATTCATAGTAGCTCTGCAAGTTCTCATACAAAAAGACCTAATGATCTACTAGACCTGGAGATATGTGGTTGCTCTTCAAAGACCTATGGCAAATCAACTTGTTGCCGGAACACACCAATACTTTCGTAACACATTAGGGAGGGTGGGAAACAAGGCTGCATGACTCAACCACCACAGTAAGGTCTTCATTCAGACCTAGAACTCTCTGTAATTAGTAGTTGCTCAGCTCACCTCCACCTGAGCATGCAGCTCTCCTTGGCTCTAGTCTGCATCAGAGTGACAAAATATGGCAGCCAAAGGGTTGTTAACATGGTATACTGGTTTACCAACGAACCATCCAACACAATTTAACTGACTATGAAAACGGAGAAGATATTTTTATCAGTCTTTCTAGTTCAACTTTGACCCGCTGTACTTGTATTGTGGTAACTTTCAACAGGAATTTTTGGAAATCCCATAAATACCCTTTGGCCTACATTCTCTGTGAGATTATGAGCTTAAAACCCCATTTCACCACAAGGAGGCACAATTGGCTTTTTGTCTTCAAGTGTAATGCATTATCAATTTGTCACTCTACCATCACATGATTTAACACACACTTTTCTTGATTGATGGCTTTGAATCCAAAAATATTCAAAACAGTAACAACCAAAACACTGTTCACTTCAGATATTAGTGTAAATGCATGAAGAGCATTACAAAGAGGGAGTTGTTCCATTGCTTTCAGAGTTTTGAAAAAATGATTTGAACTAAAGTCGGCCAGGATTACATCTTGTGGTCTTGAGCAGATAGTACAAGTTCAACTTCAATTAAGCAAACTCTGAAAAAGCTCTAAAAAAATAAATAAGCAATACATTTAAATATTTTGAGGGTTAATAGTATCAGTCACTGGCTGGTAGACTTGAGTATAGCAAGGAAGTAACAGGAGTCATATCTAATAAAGACAGCTGCTGTTGAATAATATCAATCTAAACAAAAAAGAAGAGAAGAGATGTGCAACCTTTTGTTATTAATATCAATCTAAACAACAAAGGAATGAAGTGCAACATTTTGATAATAATATCAATTTAAACATCAAAGAAGAGAAGTGGAACCTTTTGTTAATAATATCAATCTTAACAACAAAGTAGTGAAGTGCAACCTGTTGTTAATAATATCAAAACGACAAAAACAGACATATTGAGCATTCCAATCTCAGTCAACTGAGACACAAATTAGAAATAAATCTAAACTAACCCATATTAAAAAGAGATTTTTTCCAAACACTCTGCAGCTCCTAACTCAAGACATGAATCATGAAACAAATTACGGAGTCTGGAAAAGGAGATGGAAAACATCGTGGACAGGGGGAATAATTAAAGAAGAGAATTGATCAGACATAAATCAACGTGAAGGGAGAATGAATGAATCTGACCTGGTAAGGTAAAAGATCTGTTGAACATCTGATAAAGAAGAACCTTTACACCGCACTTATAAAATCTGAGCAGAGGTATCAACACCGACTGGAGCCACATTCTTCTGCGTCTCGAGGATTCTCTTCCAAGTTCCACTCAGTTTCACTTCAGAGTGTCCGGGTCGCAGTCCGGACGGGTTTAGGGTTTCCCTCTCCACGGGTCCTATTTAAAACATAAAAAGACCGCCCCGTCCGCCCTCAAGAAAGCGTCACGAGATCCATTACCGCTCCCTACAATTGTATTTTCCTTCTAAGTCCTACCTTTTCCAAACATATGTCTATATGGTGATTTCGGGTAATTTCTTGCAATTTGTGATTTTTGCGTCTTATTTCGATATCTGTTTTACATGTTAGATTTATTCTAACCACAGCAGCAGAAAGAACGGCACAGCTTTTATTGTTCTTTGTGCCAAAAAAAGAAAATTCTGCTTTAATTGGAATATCTGGAACTGGTCACTTTGTACTCAGGGACACTTGTATTGGTCAAATAAATCA